CAGCTTCACGAAGTTACGCCGAAGATGATACACGTATGATAATGGAACTTTTTTATATGTCGTTTCTCGATTCCCATCAAGCTATGTACTCAACCATGTATATTGCAACAAAGCAGGGAAGCAATATCAATTATCCTTCTACAACTCCGATCAAGCTATGTTACAGAGAGAGTTAATCGTGGTTGTTCATTCCTTTATTTAACGTCGGTCTCTGTTCCGCAATCTAGTGCCAAACACCGACGGACATCGATTGCCATCCATTGACGGCAATCGAATGTGCAGGAAGGCAGCTTTCCACACCTGCGTAGGATATCGCATCCATTCAACACACATGGGCGGGACCAACGGCTTTACTTCCCTTAATCGTGGTTGTATTAGCAAACGTTTTGTCTCTATAGTTGATTGTTTTATGTGTTTGGATTCACTGGTGATAACAGACAGGAGCAAACTTACGATGGCCCCGCTGGAATGAATCCGAACGGAGTCATCGAGACCATCGACAACTTTGACGAATGGGTATGAAGGAGCAGCTCCTTCGCGGCATCTATGTCCAGGCTTTAAATTGCTTTCAGAGAGTCACAATTAGCTATTTTAGCTGTAATGAATAATCGCGATGAATGAGCTGTTCGTTATCGCTAATCGCAAATTGTTACACTCTGGAAGCAAAATTGACAGGTTTTATGTGTCATACACAAACTTTACGCCCTCTTCTTGCATCTTACGTATAAAAATTATAATTATAATATCTTATAGTTTCAAAAAATCAAAAAGCAGCTGTAATGAGCATGAGGTACGGATTTTTTATGTAGAAGCAAAAACATATACAATATTACATCCATAGATGTAAATTTATTCGCAATTTTGTGTATATCATACAATGTAATATTAGACATATTTGCGTACCAATACCGTAGAACCCCGTTATTCTGAATAGCTAAAAATACAATTAAACGGCGTTCATTTAGAATGTATTTAATTGGTACTCATACACAGGTGTGTAAAGCCATTGAGCACCTGTGTAGAGGTACCAGCTAAACAAATCTAAATGAGCGCCTAAAAACTTGCAGCTATTGCAACTAACGGGGTAATCGTATTGCCAATACTTCCGTCAATCACATCATTAGGGCTATTAGCCCAAATGCCATTAAACCGAATACCACTAGGCCGAACGCCATTAGACCGAATCTTTAAAAGTGAAAGATGGATCTTCTTTAATTTTTACACGCTTGAACTTTGAAAAATCAAAGATCTCTGTCTGAGAAAGACTATAGAAGACATTACAATGTCTTGAACATAGGATTTTTGTCACGATTTTTGATCTTTGAATAAATATCAAAATCGAAAACTAAGCAATAAAGGACGATTTTGTGACTTGGAAAAATTCTCATAATATACAGTCAAAATTCGCAAGCTGGGCTTGATGCTTGGGCTGCTTTTTAGTTGGACCTCCGCTAGTGCGGTCATGATCCAATTAAAAAGGTACTGGGTGTCAAATTCCCATGTCAGATTGGATCTGAGTTATCTGAGTTATTTGAAATTCATTGAGCAAACGAAAACAAAAATGGAACCCATCATATATTTAGGTTTTTCGCCATACCTTTCCCTGCTTGGTTGAACTTCCTCCCATCCGGTGTGATTGAATCCGCTTTTCGTGGAATTAGCGCAACCACAATAAACGATGCGCGCATCGCTCCAAAAATGTTAGCAGTTTCTCACAACCCAACCCTGATAAAAATACCATTAACGAACGATAACCCAAATGATAAAAATGTTTCTCAAATGGTTTAGATGATACCTCGAACACGTCGTTAAACAAACTAATCATATTTTATATATTAGGGTAAATGAAGTATGTCTTCAAGTCTCCGCGTACATCGTACGGGTTAGGCAAAAGATGGGCGTTTGACTTTAAAAACTGTCGCATTAACGGCCCTTCGCTCATTTTCAACTTCTATTCAATTTTCACACTGCCTTACTCTAACGGAACTAACTATCCACCTACCCTCTTCTAAAGATCTTTCTCTAGCTAATAAATTATCACACTAAAGCTTCATGTTAGCATTTCCAACCAACTCTACAAATGATAGTTTTATTTTTACTGATTAGCGCAGGAATCAACTGATCACGTCTTCCTTCGGAAGGGAAATAAAGCCGTTGGTCCTGGCCCATGTGTGTTCAATGGGTGCGATATCCGATGCAGGTGTGGAAGCTGTCTTCCTGCACATTCGATTGCCGTGAATGGATGCCAATCGATGTTCGTCAGCGGCGCGGGTGGTTTAGTGGTATGCGTGATTACCTCTCACTCCAGCAGGCCTGGGGTCAATCCCAGTCGTCGCCGCCGGGACAATTCTAATCAGTAGTAGGAAATAGGGAAGTTAAGCCGTTGGTCTCCGGTTCATGAGTAGATGGGGCGATAGGTAGGGTCCAGGTGTGGGAGCCGCCTCCCTGGCGTCGGTGGCATTGGTGCTCAGCACGGAAAACAACATCAAAGGAAAAAAATCGATGTTCATCGGTGATTGGGAACAGAGACCGACGTTAAATAAAGGAATGAAAAGACATGAGAAGCATATGTTGAGCAGTTTCACATTTTGACCATGTTTTTCAGGGTGTCCTTTTTTTCCTTTTGAATTGTTTTCCGGCGATCTGTTTTCCGTAATGAGTACCCGTAAAAAAAAGAACCGTAGAGGTACAATGAAATGTATTGTAACCATACAATAGAGTTTATGGTATTTACAATAAATCGTATTATCCACAACGATAAAATAACAATAGAATGTATTGTTTCTACAATAGAATCTATGGTAAATTGGGGAATATACAATAGATTAAGGGGGTCGTTATGTATCTTAACCATACGAAAAATCACTTTTTCCCGAACAAACTTGAACCATTTACCATTAATTGTATTGTTGTTCTATTGTTGAAAACTCTTACTATATGGGACGTATTGTACATCTATTGTAATAACAATATGCTAAAACTTCGTGTACTATATACACACAATAAGATCGATTGTTGGCAATAGATTTACTTGTAACTGTATTTTATTTTATGGTAATTGTATGGTTATTTTTTTCCGGGTACCAATGCTATCGACGCCAGGTACATCAACTAATGGACCGGGGACCAACGGCTTCATTTCCCATGCCTAAAAAATAACGACTGAGATTGAACCCAGGCTCTTTGGAGTGAGAGGCAGTCACGCTTATCACTACACCACCGGCGCCACTTGCAACATGGCATCATCAGCTATCACTTTCTCCTCAGATATGTACTAGTGTTTTAGACTTCTAACCCATGAAGAGTGGTCCAGTACAATCTCAAATTGAATAAAGCGATCGATATATTACAATGCAAAAAAGACAAAAATCGCTTCTTGCCACAAAAACAGAAAGGGACCGCATTTTTCAAAATTCAAAATTTTTAAACGAGGTAAGCGCCAGGTAAGCAGTTCAAGCAGTAACCGGGATGTTACTGCAAATATCTCGAAATAAATCTTCAAAAAAGCCTATCGCTTAAAGTTTTCTGTTTCTTACCTCGATTTACTCCATAATACGAAAAGAGGTCCTAGCATGGCAATTTTCTCACCCTTGAGAAGTTCTTTTCTTACTGTTTCCGAATTCAACGCTAAGGGCAGGAATTCACCCAGTTCCCCTACATCTTACATATGAAACACTTGCCTTTAATCCCAATACATATATATTTTTTTTCCCATGAGCACATTTTGAGACACAGGTCCGCAAGAAAATTATTCCGTATAATACGCTTAACCAAACGTTAATTCACGGCCAGATTCCTCTGGGGGGAAATCGTAAAAACAGCGCTTTCACCTCAAAAATTCTGGATGTTAATTCCATCTCAATTACAATAGCAGAAACATCACAATACTAAAACTTCACTGAGAAACTATTTCTTCGAGCTAACCAGGTTTACAATGAAGATCTAGGATACTCAATAAAGCCGCTCTGTTCAGTATTCAGAAAAAAATCATACTCTTCTCTTAACTCTTTACCATTCTTACATGCGCTCAAAGGATTGATTTTTGTAGACACAGCTGGACGAGCAGACGCATCAATCTACTCGAAGGTTATTTTTTTTTCAGACGCAATTAGGTGTATATCAAACCGTTCAGTAAATGAAACTGTTCATAATATGGTGCTTGCACGGTACTTAGCATTTTTCTTACGTCAAACAAATCCCGAGATAGAGCTGATTTCTTGCATCCAGATTCTAAGTGGACCATGCTTCATGACTGTGGTATCATAACATCTTATGATTTCATAATTGATTTTTTGTTACTGATCAACCTTATTATTTGGCTCGTTTGTCGTATGATAAAGATATTTTTGATTTCCTGATTTTGACGGAGAAATTGAAACTCTGTGGCATATCAAATCGGGAGGCGCTGTGTGCGCGAGTAACAGAGACATGTTGTAATTCTCAATGGTTGTAAACTTACCTGTATCTCATCCTATTTTCTCATGGAATATGAATCCGGCAATGTTGAGCCGAAAAATTGGGTAGGTAATTGCCTCAATTTGTTCAATTTTCAGAAAAGTCATTCACCGATTTACGTTACACGACCGTTCAATCTTACTCAATGACTGAGTAAAATTGTATTGCTATCTCCTCTTTTTCTTTCACGGTAATATTACTCAATTATCATAAAAAATTAGGTCACAAAGAGCTCTGTAACTCAAATTTTTATGATAATTGAGTAATATTTCCTAGAGAGAAAAAGAGATACAGCAATACAATTTAAATCAATCACTGAGTTAGCCTAAACGACCGTACAAGGACAAGGTTCAGAGAAACCTCACCCATCACTTCGCGGTCTCAGGTGGCACATATCTGAAAATTTCCCCTAATTCACCTCCGCGTCGCATTTTCAGCTTCATACACTATCGTCAGTTCTGTGTCTCAGGAAAAGAATAGTGCTCAAATAAATGATATGAAAATAGGCTTTCTTTCTCACATAATGTTCAAAAATACCAGGGATATATGTTTTCGCGTTTCTTTTTTTTTTATTTCTTTCTGTACTGAAAGGACATTCATGAAAGATAGTTCAATGGGTAGTCAGAAATAAACGACATAGGGATGTTTGTGTTTTTTGGAAGAAATGTAGAAAAACTAGAGACCATCAGCATGTTGTTTTCGATCATAAGATAAGAATAATTTATAATCACAAGAATTCTATGATAATTTATAAAAAAAAATATAAAGAGAGGTAAAAACCCTTCAATTTTTCACATGCTTTCACTTATTTGTAAATTAGTAGTAAATCACACACATTTTGTCCATTATTTCCGCTGTTATTCTTTTCTTGCTTTTTATTATCATTGCATTATCCTTATCATATTGATTCGCTTGTTTATCTCATAGTTATGCTTCTATTTATGCTGTCCGACACAAAGAAAAAACGGTTCTTGCTTTTGCAAATTATGGATCGAAATCTTGTTCATACCTCAGCAGTTTCATCGGAATAATTAATACAGTTACGGATGATAATAATAGTAGAGTAGCTTATGCGTTTCATTCCATTCTTTTTACCATCAAAAATGGTCTTCAAGTTTTCACATTTTGTTTTCAGTTTTACATGTTTCTTCGTCCTCCTGATTTCAACATTACAACCCACGCTCATGCTCGTATCCTATGACTGTAATTCATCTCATGTGCCATCGAAGAATGCGTAAGAATTTATTTGTTCTCTAAGTAAGTTTCTTTGCTCTTTAACCCTTCCCTATAATCTCCGCTCTTGCTTTCGCAATCTATCTTCCTTTCAGTTCTTTGATTCCACCAATTCAGAGAGATGCTTTATGATTTTAAGAGCTAATACAAATTACAATTTCTTATCATACTGAACTGATTTTACACAAATACAAGAGAAATACGCTCACACTGCCGCCGTAGGCTGTAAATAAAAGAGAAAGAGAGAAGAAAAACAAAATAGAAAATCAAACCGTGACGACAATTTTGAGCTTTTCTTTTTATTCCTTTTATTAACGCGCGCAACAACACTCAAGGTAGCAACAACAAAAAAAAAGAATTAATGGGAAACAAACCCGAACACAAACAGCCACTACTTTGAACTTTGAAAGGAAGGAAAACAAAATTGAGAATTGCTAATTAAAGCAGCAAATGTCCTTTCTCTCAATCTCACGGAAACAAAAGAAAAACAAAAACTAGCAAGGGAACTTATAAATATTGACTTTGCAAAAGAAGAAAAACAGAATCTCCTCTTTTTACTCGTTCTCATTCTTACAATTAGCATTTTTGCAACCGTTTTTATTTTCCTCGTTTATATCATTCCTATAGCAGTAGTAAGCTTACACTGTATTGTTTTTTTTTTTTTAGTTTTCAGTTTTTTTTTTAATTTTTATTCAAGTGTGTTTCTAATGTTTAAATTATAAAAAGCAGTATGAAAGTTTACCTCTTCTAATAACCACAGGTAATTAGATAATCTCCGAGCTTTTCGACTATAGACGCCGCTTGCTGAGGCTGGACTGGCTCTTCGTAAATTGATACTATAACAGCTGTGGATGAAAAATACGGGAAAGCAAAAGAAACAATAAATGTAATCAATTCGTTCGCAATCGATTCGTTAATGGTCGGGTCGGGATTGATTGAAAAGTGATGATGGAGACCGCATGCTAGCACCAAACTGATACATAGAATTGCAACGTAGACTGGCAGTCGCGACGTGATGAAATTATCCATTGAAAATTTTGAGATCTTCTATACATTTGCATACCTAAGACCGTTGTACGCATAACTGTCATACGTTCTATACAATTCGTATGGCACACGGGACATTAATGCGTATATCGATAGTATGATGAAACGTCAAATAATCTATAGTTTCATGTTCATGTTATTATTTTCAAAAAAAAAAGAATTTGTGAACTTATAGACCACTCGGTTTTACTTCCCTTCAGATCTCGTGATCAGAGATTTCAAGACCAACAATTGAAATGGCCTTAACTCCATTTTGTAAACAAACCTTGTAAGGCCATTTTCTCGCGAACCGAAGTCCGCACAGGCAAACCAACATAATGAAAAGGTAGGGGAAATTCTTCTCTACCCGTTTGTGGTTTAGGTTTGCGAATGAAGGTTTAGGTTCGCGAGAAAATGGCCTTACAAGGTTTGTTTACAAAATGCAGTTAAGGCCATTTCAATTGTTGGTCTTGATTTTATAACTCAGAAAATCTCAGCAGCGCCGACTGGGATTGAGCCCAAGCCTTTTGGGGTGAAAGGCAATCACGCTTACCACTACACAACCGACACCGCTAAATGCTTTGAAGTTTGTAAGGGGATTAGAAGTTAAAATTTCTCAATTATCGCTCTAATTTGTGTTCAAGTAGTCCAAACACTGTACAAATTTAATAAGTGGGTGCTATAAAAATTACTAATGTCGTTTCCGTTTTATCGGTGTAGCCACACCGGTGCTACACTACCGTACACCGACATAAATTAAGGTGTAGATATCGGATGCACCTTTGTTCACAAACAAATTATGTTGAGCTATCAATGATTCACGCTTATTCCTGCTTACCCTACACCGGTGCTACACCACAAAAACGAAAACGGCATAAGGCTTGTTTATTCTTTGTCGTGGCGGAGTGCAATAAATTCAAACAAAAAGTTTATTAATTAAAAATATATTGATAGAGTTTTTGATATCATCGGTCAAAAGCATTGTGATGTCAAATCACGGAATCAGAAGTTTCCCACCTTCTTTAGCAAAATACTATTGCCTATGCTCGAAGTAGTACTGGAAGAAGCATTTTGTTTTTTTTTTTTAGTTACCACCAAATAATTATCATTGTAACATACACTGCTCAAACGATTAGAATCCACTAGGGAAAATCCGCATTAGTCCGCAAAACTCCATCCAATTTTTGTGAAGTTCAACGATTTTCGGAAACCGGAAAAAAAACTCACATTGGTACACTTCCACGACCGCGGTAAGGACAAAACTTGGCAATGAACTTCATATTCATTAAATGTTATTCGAAATTTAAAGAAAAATAGTTCACCAGTTCTAGTTCAAGTTACGCACAAAGCTGAAATAGTTTACTCCGCGGAAAGTGTTGGCAGCTTTTGAAAACAAAACAAATCACGTTGCCAAATCGTCTGATAATGTTTCCCCGAATCTCTGTACCTATATAACGGGTGTTCAATAAAAAATGAAAAAAAAATTCAGTCATATAGCTAGTAAAAAAAAAGTTTTTTCAACGAATTCAGTATTTTTTATTAAAAACATAATGTTTATTCTTCAAAAAAACGCTAATGAATATTGGAGAAGGGGCCCTGGTCAACCGTACGACGCAACTTAGTCGCGATGCTCTCACAAGAGCGCTGGACGGCACTGAAATCATTCTCATTTTTTATTGAACACCCGTTAGGAATACTAGTAAAGATACGCTACACAATGGAAAACAGTCATCGCTGCTCTTCGTATTACTACACTGATGTTATGTTTATTGTTTTGCTTTCATGAGTTGTTTATTGTTTACGAATTGTATATTGTGATTGAAAATTAATGGTAACAGTTTAGGGAAGTAAATAGTATTAAGAAAACGTACTAGCTCGGACCAGGCAGGATGCCTCTCGGAAGCAATACAAATAATTCAAAGTGTCGAACGGTATCGCGTTCGCTGGTAGTACACCGATGTTCTCCTTGTAAACAAAGACGCAGCGTAGGGCCATCCATCCTGGCCGAAACAAATAGTTTTGCCTACACTCGAAATAGTTAAATAAAAAAAATCAGTTGTTGGTTCACAAGCTGCATCCAAATCTATGCCTAGTTGACCAATCTTATCTTAGATGACAAATGGATTAACTGTGCGTAGTACTATTGAGCTTTAGATCAAATGCGTTCATCACTAGGAGTTGTAGGAGCAAATTAAAAACCGTCCCGAACTCATCAAGTGGAAGTTGTTACGAGAAATTTGAAGAACAGTTTATATAAGTTTATGAACAGCCCCTTACCTATCTTACAATAAACTTCCCTGTGCTTCTCTAAATTGCGTTGCACAGCTATCTCTGAGAACAACTCCTCTGAGGTTCTCTGAACTTATCAGAGATCGTCTGAGAGGACCAGTGATCCAACGAAATAGTGTGATGCTTGGAGACCTTCAGAGAGAATGGCTGTAAGGTCGATTCCATAGTGAGAGCGAAGCGAAGTGAAGAGGCGAGCGAAACATTGAAAAGAATAATATCAATAATGGAAATCCATACATCTCACGCCAAAGTCAGAAGTTCAAATCTCAGCCCGGACAAGTCACGAATGACCCAAGAGCGTTAAAGTAGGGGGAGGAGGAGCATGGTGAACAGGTGGGGCAGTGAGCATCCCGCAGTTTGGCCCTGGATCTCTAGGTGCATGAAACAAATCAACTGGTAGTAGGTGCAATATAATTATGGCCCTTATTACCGTTGTCACTTTACGGTGAAGTGACAACTTATCACTCACGGTGAAGTGATTCCCATTTGATTTACACGGCAATCACTTCACCGTGAGTGACAACTGGTCACTTCACTTCGTTTTCACCGTGAAGTGAACGGCCGGAAGTCCAAGCTGGTGCACGGGATGCTCACTACCCGAGCAAAGTCGGTTAACAAAATGAAAGCAAATCGATATTAAAGTGTGCAGTTCCTATCATAATGAAAACTCATTTTGATTTCAAATGTTGCGACATAAGTCTGATATCATATTGTGCTTTCATTATGCAGTCAAGACGTTTTAAATGAAAGCAACTTAACTTGAAGTTCTGCTGTTTACGTCTTGTTTAAAATTTAATTGAAATTCATCTGTCGTTGAACTAATGATTATCTTTTATCTGATTTGTTTAACACATTTTAGGTCATTCGTGACTTGCCCGCGGTGAGATTGGAGCCTAAGTCTTTCAGCTTGAGAAACATGAATGGTAACCATTTACTCTAGGCCCGTATTCAGTTAAACATTATGAATGCAAAATCAGTAATCAAATTGATTTCATTGAAAGCAGGATTAGTTTTCCGTTTGCTTCAACAGTGTAAAATTTTGCTCTCATTTTTGCTGTGTTAACCGTTAAGTCAACCAAAATGAGATCAACTGGAGTATTCAAAATAAGTTACATCATAACAGCAAATTTTGATTTCAATTTGATCTTAAGCTTTGCTCGGGTATACCCCACCTGTTCACTATGCCCCTCTTACCCCTAACTATAAAAAAAAGATGGAAATTCTTATTATTGATAGTATGTATTCCTTACACTCGTTTCAACGCTTTGCTCGCCTCTTCGCTTCTCTTTGCTCTTACAATGGCATCAGCAGAAGTTCTCTTGTTCTCTGAACTTATCAAAAATCGTCTGAGGACCAGTGATTCAATTAAATAACGTGATGCTTGGAAACCTTCTTAGAGGTTCGACGAACTTCGAAGTTCTCAAAAGTGCACCGTCGCGAGATTCCATCAAACCATCTGGCAAATATCATGGCCTTCATGTGAGAATGAGAAACTATGTCCTCTCACCATCACGATATGAAACTACACATATCATGAGCTTTCTTGTAATTTTCCAATGAACAAGGGAAGGGCAGTTCAGTCACCTTAAGAAAATCATCACTAATGATACCAAAAATTCAGTGGGAACGTATGATTTTTAACCAAATTGATAGTTTCAAGCCCTACTTACATCATGAATACAAATTGAATATTAAAAGTAACGTCTGTAATCTTATGAAAAAAGATTTAAAAAATGTTCGTTTTGTAACCGAAATAAAACCGTTGGAATAAAATAAGCACCCTATCGGGGTTGTTTGAGCGCCTTAGTAAAAAAAACTGGTATGAATATTCTGTTCTCATGAGGATTTGATAAGGATCAACAATGAGCAGTTTTAACATGAAAATATTTGAAAGAAACAACTGTTTTCTGTAGAATAAATTACGGTTAAGAAGCACTACCTATTTAAGCCTATATTTGTTCGACCTTAACTGATTTTTTTTTACCAAAGCAGCTGCTACAAAAGGTTATTTCATATGATGCATTTGAAAAAAATAAGTAGAAAATGTTTTAAATATCGGTGGTGCTCATATTGCCCCGTATGGGGGCTGTGTATAGAGATGAACTAGAGGCTAAAAATCTCCATAATAAAGTATAAAAAACGAATGGGGGCTTAACAGACTACTTCAGTAATATTTTGTTAAGAAGTTTTTTAATGTTTCTTGAAATCTAGAAAAACATCGTGTCATATAAGAAATAAATAACCATTTATATAGCTGCTTAAGGAATATTAACAATAAGTTATAAAAACTACTGATAGACCTTATTTTCTGATGCAGAAGTCTTATAAAATTTTGGAAAATTAAGCTAACGGGTGTTCAATAAAAAAAATGAGAATGATTTCAGTGCCGTCCAGCGCTCTTGTGAGAGCATCGCGACTAAGTTGCGTCGTACGGCTGACCAGGGCACCTTCACCAATATTCATTGACGTTTTTTTGAAGAATAAACGTTGAAAAAAAAATTTTTTACTAGCTATGACTGAAAAAATTCTCATTTTTTATTGAACACCCGTCAGTCTAAGATTTATCGAATATTCGCGAAGTATTTTTTGGAATTAAATGGATAGTTCAAGTAAGCTTCAAGCATCAATTCTTCAACAGATTTTGGTAAAATTAATTCAATAAGTTGATTTATACGCAGGTGGTCACATTGGCGAAGTTACCCCACTTTCTCCTACTCGTGAGATTAATTCTCATATACCTAGTTTTGACAGCAAAATTTCTAATTGTTTGAGATGAATTTAGGCAAGCAACAGTATGAGGTACAGTGGACTATTTATGTAGGATTTCCGCAGTACAACTAACAATAATATCATTAAATGAACAAGAAATTGACAGAAGTATATTTGTAAAAATTACATAATTTGAAAATTACATTGGCCAGCCCTGGTCATGACCAAGAAAATGAGATGTTGTTCTCATCCGATGATAGTGAGAGAAATATCTCTGTAAAAATCGGGTGAGATCTTTCATTTAAAATTACATTTGCCAGCCCTCATAAGGTAACCAGAGCTTCAAATAAAAAATAAGTTCCGTTATATGAATACAATATCGTTATGATAAGCGATACTCAATAATGACTAAAAGTACACATTTTCGAGGGAAAGTAGAATTACCCATTAAATGAGTAAAATGTTTACCAATTCATTAAAAGCTGTTCCTCATTTGTGTAGTAACAGTTACTCACTAATGGATAGTCTCATTTTCCCTCAAAATGGGTTAGCTAGTACACCGCTACTAAAAAAATAATGACGTTTCGATTTTTCTAAAAAAATATTTGGAAAAATAAAAACGTGCCGAAAAAAAAATATTTTTGGGGTGGTAAACTTCCCTTAAGCCTGTTAATGTTGACAAACAAAAATGACCCATCTTGTGCTACGGGGCTGTCCATAAACTACGTAGACACTTTAGGGGGAGGGGGGGGGGGGTTGACAATTATCCACGGTCCATACAAATTTTAAAAATTTTGTATGGGCGATTGTCTACGCAGGGGGAGGGGGGTCAAGAATCCCAAAAAACTGTCTACGTAGTTTATGAACAGGCCCTACCTTACCGTACTTTTCGGTTACCATGTACGGTATCTCAATACTCTCAAGATAACAAGAAACAATGTTTAGAATATCTCTGGACGAACTAGTCACCAACAATGAAAATTTCACGAACTGACTGAAGACATGAGTCTCTATTTGCACTGAATATAACGTTTAAAATACTACACTCATATGGCTATTAATTTATTTCATAAGTTTGAAAGAAAATAATAAAACAACATTTCAAACAACACTACCTACCATCACATTGGAAAAACTTCATCCTATCTGACGATGGTGTTAGTTTGCGTGGATGAGCTAAGACAATTATCGTTTTATCGATGTTTACAAAAACAGGTACTTCCTTTCTAAGATTCATCCTTGGTTGATTAAACTGTTCTGATAATTGTCAGACACCCTGTAATACGACTAAAATGGTCCAGGTGTGAAGTGAACCGAACGGTATTTATCACTTTCTTCTGCAAATTTTGATCAACAATACTATAATCAGTTTGATGCTAGCACAAATGTTAGAATTACGTACAGACGTATGTCTACTCAAACCAAGACGTACATCTCGATAGTATTCGTGTTACTCTCTGCATCATCCAAGTGGGTTGAATCGATCAATTATAGCCACCAGAGGAGGCCTAATCGACTCAGATCCACAGATAATGCAAACGAAGTTTATATAGAAAAAGAAAACAAAAACAACGTTGTTTGTGCAACTTACCCTGCTGCGTCTTCATACAATGTACTCCCATCTTGCCCAGCTTAGCTCGGATTACTCGATCGGTTCCGGACAGGTAGATGTAACGCTGGCCGGCCAGTGTCACGCCTCCTGAGGTGAGCAGTTCAGTTTTGTCGAAACCTTGCACTATTTTCGCCAGTTCTTCTTTTGATACCTAAAGTAACGCAAGATAGAGAAACAAATCATCTGAATTAGTACATTGTAATTAAATGATGGGTACATAATTAAGGAACCTTGGTCAACAGGAGATCAAAACATACTTAATACGACCGTATGAAACGAAAGCTAATACATATTTTGAATAGGATGTTCTATACTTTGCACTTAAGTCATCTGAGAAAAGCGGCATTTAACAATGTTTTTGTTGTGCGATCTTGCAGTAAACCGAAAATATTTATCAAATTCACAGTGTGTTATTTTTAACCCATGTAGAACAAAAAAAAATGACATAGCATCTATAACGATATCTAGAGCAAACGCGGTAAATGACTATGTGTGAAAATAAACCCATAAGCTAAGCTTCTCATGCGCATCTGTTGACAATTTGCTACGTTCCCAAGCGCGGAAAGCATTTGAAAATATTCAAATGAAATGAAACAATTTCAAGCTACACTTTACCCCAAGGCCGATCTACGCATATTTGTCGCATGTTCTAAAAGTTACAAAATATTGCATTAATTACAATTCAACAATATTCCTGTTTTAATGAAAACTGAAAAATGTCTTTATCGAAATCCATTAAGCTTATTCTAATAAGTATATTTATGCCGAGAAACTTGCCATGGAGCAGGAATTTCTACGCATATCAGTCCCACTACGAATTGTTTCCCCGTGTTGCTTTGATGACCACGTTAATTTTGACGCCTTACGCGTATGTTAAGTATGTTTACGGAGTATGCTCCTTGCGAAGTTTTGAAAGTTCTTGAATAATTTACCTATTCGAACAAGCTATTAGTTCGTTGGCATTGCTGCAAGCGACGATAGTGATATGGAAGCTGATGTTTTTCGCAGGTTTGATCTGGACGGTTAAACGAAAGACTAGTTTACTGAAGTAGGTACTGTACCGAATCCCCGATAAAAAGTACTGTTTTATGAATAAAATTTAAAAACGTATACAAGTAACATGAGACAGAATTGCGTAGAATGGCAGCGCAGTGCGTAAATATTACTAATCATTCATCTTGATTTTCTCCTGACCCGCTTTTAGGCACGTGGGTCGGTCAAAAATATTGAGCAACGCCTGAATGAGAAGGTCATTCAAGGTCGTTCAATCAGCGGTGGTTATGCAATTCACTTCAGTAGGTGGTTGTTGTTATTAGGGTAGCTAAAAGTTTGCACTGGAGTGATGGAAGTGGATGCAGTTCTCGAACGTAAATAGCTTATTATAAAAAAAAAAACAACCCTGAGCGACACAAATACATGTCGGCGAGACAACGACATCACGTTGAATTGTGTTTCCTTTTAAGTAGATAATTTTATCGCATTCTGGTGCTTTGATTCGAAGCAACTCGTGAAGTCTGGTGGACATATGTGGCCTCAATTGAATCTGAGAAAGGTCTCACTGCCTCTACGCCGATGACTCCAATGGTTTCATCGGAAGATTGACTGTTCAAATCTGATTGTGCAAACAATCGGTGACGAATCGAATTAGTATTTTGATTACAACGTCGTCGATGAAACGAAGGATTATTTGAGCATCTCTACCAAAGACCGGTTCACAGCCGGTATACGTCACTCTCATGGCCTGCCGTCAGTGCCGTCTGTGGTTGGTGAGGTGCCGTTCGCAAAAGTAGGTGAGTCAAGAAAAAAAGCTATACATATACCTCACATGGTCGAGCGTTTGGTTCGACTGCGGAGGATCGCCAAAAGACGGGAACGTACCGTCCTCGAAATTCGTAAGCATGATGTGTGAAGTGGAAAGCAAAAAAAAAACTTGCATTAACCGCCTAATGAAAAGTGACTTTGTCGTTAATTGGTTATGTAATTTCACTTTTATATGGCAATATTACAAGTCCGATTCAAAAAGGGAGTTGACTCGCTACAACCTAAGTAAATTCTAGTCAGGTTTTCTGAATTATGACAAATATGTAAGCATGTTTTAGAGATAAATACCTGTAGTAAACTTTCCAGAATTTACCAAATTTACCTAAATTAATGCAGTGTGCATAATTTAGGGAGTACATAATCGATTTCGTCTCGCTGCGTAGAGTTTTGAATGACATAGGTATACGAAAAAGGTAAAAAGGGCAACGACTGAATGTGCAGCTAAAATAAGCTACACACCTTATCATTCGGCACCCTCTGTGGAGTAGCGTGAGACACGGAACCAACACTACAGGAATGCGTGGAATGCGTTGAGAATGCGTAACAATTTTTAAATGCCACTACCGGCACGCTCCTTGTGCATTCGTTGGCAATTTTTTCGTTCAAACGATAAATACTTTAGTATCGACTGCATCGACGAGCCGGCATGCGACCAATTTCTATTTTTAGAATCGGAAGATAGTTGACACGAATGCCTTCCGATGGGCACTTTTGACATGGTGGCTACACAAACAGTGTTTTTGATACTAATGACCGCATAACATATACCACAAATCTACAACTATGTGTTATAATGCGGCCTTTCTCAACATAAAATTCCCAAATTTATGATAGCTTTTTTTCTTTTCTTTATTTAGGAGATTTTCAGCCGCAAGGTGGTTCATCTCCTTTCAACTCATGCTTTGAAATATGATATACTTATTAAATTCATACGTTTGAAAAATTACAGTTTTTGCTACGATCAACAGCCATACGGGGCATGACGGGCCACCACACGGGACAAAATGAGCACCCTAATAAAAGTTAACGTTTTGGCTTTGTTTTTGCTAGAAAATAACATTAAAATCATGTGAAATAGAAACATGTATGATTAATTAACAAAAATATTTGTTTCGGAATTTTGCATGTTTTTTAAACAGATTTCTAGATTTACGCGGATTAACGAGTTTACGCGGTTTATTTTTACGCTATACGTAAACCCCGCGTACCAAGCAGATGACCGCACGGTAAGGAAAAAAATACTCAACATTAAGTTTATAAAAACTCAACGTTGAGTTCTATCAACGACTCATAAATCAGCCATAGCATGCCCAACTGTCAATTTTCGACCGAATCTGCTATCAAAAAAGAAGTCGGTATCCTCACAGAATCATGTATCCAAATGATTCGAAAAATTTAATCAAAATAACGATCAATATTTACGCGATAATTTAACTAAACACTAGCTTTATATTGCTTATTTCTTATATCTTTATTAAGGAGACTTTCAGCCCTGGGCTCATATATTTTTTATTGTTGTTTTACATCAACAGGCTGGATGAAGCCCCAATGATATTAACCATATAAACTATAGTTTTAAAAAATACATTCAAGCATGGTCATAGCATACAAAAAAAAACATTCTTATAGTCTGTTACTCCTGCCGGCCAAAAACAGAAGAAAACTTGGATTTATCAACTTCCCGACTTTTTCCCGGTGTTCCTGGATGAGTTACCACCTTGCGGTAAATTTGTCATCAAAGAGGAAAGTGCAGCACACACTTAGATTATTTGCTGAGATTGGCTGCGCCGAACAGCTCGGCATTTATTTTTGCTGAGATCTCAGCAAAATTCTCGTTTGTTAGCTGAATCCAGGCAAGTTTTTCACTGAGATCCAGCAAAATAAAATGCCGGGCTAGTCGGCGCTGCCAATCTCGGCAAAAAAAAACCAAGTGTCAACGCTTTACCGCTGTTTCTAGAAGGGTTTTAGGATAAAAGAAGAGCAAACTGACTGAGTTTGAGCCAAATGAACTGCCAAAGCCAGTGCCTATTTATAGATGGCGTAACATTTAAAGGGGAGGGAGGGTCTACAAATGTTGTATAAGTTATAGGAAATACGCTACGAAAGGGGATACTGTTTAAAATTGGTGAAGAATGCCCCCTTATTTAAATTGGCAGTGTTGCCAAGGCAGTTTGTTTTGTATACACCCCTCTCTTAGCTTGAACCCTCACTTGTATAGAAATATTTTGCATATTTCATGCTAAGGAGTCACCAAAAGGTTCTGCCAAACCAGTATAAAAACCTTATTTTAGCGTGCCTGCATACAATTAAGTTTCATTATATTCCAATACCTTCGCGTTTTTTGTATAGACTGTTAAATTTGACGTCATTCATTTGACAGCAAAACTCTTCACCATGCCTCCTCAATTCAACACATTTTACTAAGCCGATAAGACGCGACCATCAAATAGTATTAACTCAAAACCTATTACGCGCAGGTATGTTTAACCATAATTAAATGCCAGTATAATGCCACCAAACGTAACAACCTGAAGCGAAAAAAATACATAAAATAAAAACATTTAGCATGCGTTACACTAATACACATTCAGTGCTCAACGAACATTCAGCATTTTTTATGTGGGTACATGTGTCATTTGCTATCATCGGAGAGGAACAAGATAATAAAAAGTGAAATTGTAACTTTCGATTTCTACTTGGCACATTTTTATAGCCTTCACTGTCTGCTGCCAATCATCCCACGTTGGCACGCATTCGATTTTGGCTTGCGCCTCCTTGACGAATCCCAATCATATAAATAGAATTGTACGTTACGGTACTCGATGCCAGAGATGAAACTTTGACCCCCACCAAAGCATGTTGCACTGCTCTATCATCAAATCTAAGTGTGTCGATTAGTCACCACAGGTGATCAAACCTATCGATGGAAAAATACAGATATCTTGAATTCCATTTCTATAAATAGTCTCTTCGGCGACTCATCGCTGATGTGTACGTTTTACAGCTTGTACTTGGTACAAATAGGGAAACCGTCAGCCAGACGAACGCAGCGAGATGCAGTGGGAGAGTAAATCACTTGAACCGTGTTTAATTGCCACGAAAAGGCAAGAAATGATACCCATGTGGTCACACTCCAGTAACGCCTTTTCCGTTTCTGTCTCCAATGTATTTTCCTTTCAGGCCAGTCGAAAACTTAACGGAACGTGCACCCGTTCAGAGCTTGTCCAGTTGTCCAACCGCTTTCGATGGTTGTACTTTTCTCTTTCTCTTCGGAGCCGGTTTGTTACCTATTGACATTTCAAACTGATTCATGCAAGTAGAAAGCAGCTT